GGGTTTACTTTTCAGTTTCCCTACAAGCTCTTAACTATCACTTATCAGCTTACCTAAATTGTCGAACGGTGAGAAACGGGAATTAAAAGGGCACTAAGGCTGCGAATACCACCCTTTTTTGTTATCCCGTCCAGTTATCCAATCAACGTCATCTTAACGTGTGGTCAGTGTGAGCTGGTGTGCATGATGTTGGCCCAGCGTGAGTCGAGCCTAGTTTTAAACTGTTCAACTGCGGATGACGGCAGCATTGCCGGTGGAAGAGCGTTCCAATCATTTACGACCCAGAAGCTTAGTGAGTTTCGAAGGACGAAGGTCCTGGCTTGGGGACTTCTCAGCTTACATTGGTGTCGTCATGTCACCTTCGGGTCGTGTCTTGTCAAGAACTCGCCCACCGGCAAAGATAGGCTTCTGTGAAACATCTGGAACACTGCAATCATGTTTCCCTTGCGACATCGGTAGTACATCGAAGGCAGTTGGAGGAGTCTGAGCCTCCCAGGATGTGCCCGTGCCTTACTTCTCTAAGACGCGCAGCTCGTCATTGAACCCGTTCCAGCCGCTCCTGATCCAGTCTGCCCAACGGACACCAGGTGATGATGGCATGCCCTCGAAAAGTTGCGTCAGGGCGGGAATACAACAGTGGCGGTGTGAAAACGTCAATGTCGGCGAATGACGGTCCCACGGCTGCCAGCATCTGATTGGCCTTAGAAACCCCTCCGCTGTCTTCACGTGGAGCATGAGCCTGCATGAGCATCCACGAAAATTCCAGCGTATTTTTCAGAGGGCACGACTGCGACATCGACGCCTTTAACGAAAGTACGTCAGTCGCGGATTGTAAGTGATGATGTGCACTACTTTACGCATGGGTGCCCTTAATGAGAGCAACCGTGAGAAGAAAGGCGGCCAGGGCCTTGGAGCACCACAGTTCACCAAGTATTATCCGTGCGGTCAGGGCCTTGGAGCACCACAGTTCACCAAGTATCATCCGTGCGGCCAGGGCCTTGGAGCACCACAGTTCACCAAGTATCATCCGTGCGGTCAGGGCCTTGGAGCACCACAGGTCACCAAGAGTATCATCCGTGAACATCTGGACCGCGCCTCGCACTGCCGGTAAGCCGTTGACAAAATAATGAACCTGATTGGTCCCAGAATCTTTCTTTGAGGAGTACTGCTGGCGATGGCGGTCCAGTCAGACTTCGAGTCATGGACCCGCACTCTCTGCTGCTGGATGGAAGAAAATTTCAACTTAACGATTTTGTTTGCCACCTTAAATGGCTGCCGGGTGTTGCAGTCAATTTATCGCCCAGATTCAAGTGTTATACTTTGAAGATTTCCCAACACTTGCAAACTGGCATAGCATATGACCGAATTGACATGGCAAAGAAAGATAAGATCTTTCCACACTAGCCTCATTAGACAGGGACATAATTTGGTACCAAATATAAAACGCACGAAAACCGGGATGAACAAGAGCAAAATGTATCGTTTGCCGTCAGGTTTATAAAAATATAATGAAAACGTTATTCTGAAACGGTGCACAAGTTAGATTCGATGTTACCAACAGTGAGCGCCCCGTTGCAACGCTACATTACTGGATGCTATCCATGAGCGGTCCGCGAGCAAAACCAGGTAATGTCCGGCCCCTCGCACGGCCGGGGCTGTCCCTGGGGTGACGTGTCTGGTGACGAGGCGCCAGTCCGGAGTCCCATCAGTCGTGTGTCGCCGGTCGGAGACTGTCCCTGTGGTGGCACCAAATCGGGCTGAGCACCGGTGTCCTCCAGCGGGGCCGGTAGTCAAGCTATGAGGGCGGGCGTTGTGCGTCTCATGGCGTATTCCATGTACTATGGACGCTTCACTTTAAGTTCGAAGGTGCCCGTTTAGCTCCATCGTTCACTTTCGGTGACTACTTTGTGCACTTATTTTAAGGCGCGATGATTTTCAGTTGCCTTCGGCTATGCAGAATCTTATCAGGTACAATCAATGAAACATCCCTGATTCCGAAGACGGCGCCTGCTCCAAGGCATTTAAACTGTTCATGAAGCAGTTGTGTCTGCCAATGCAGCCATCATTATCTGTTTCGTCTACGGCCGACTGATGACAGGCATGCCCCTCAAAAGGACCAGAGGGGATAAAATTATATTATGAATTATAACTCATCTGCATATTTGCATATTGCTTTGCTTGCTACCATTTAACACTCAATAAATTATGCTGACCGGGGTTTTCTTTGTTCATTGTTTTGTGTGGCTGCGATCCAACCTGAGAAATGATCGGACTATTTCCCTCCTTTGTTATGGTTCTATGAATGCAATCCTGTCGGTTTTTGGTGGAGCTGATAACCTGTACTTTCTCATTAGGCTAGTCGACAGATATAACTGTTGAGTTGGGTAAACTTTACCCCACCAGTTTATTGTGCAGGACCAGGTGACAGTAAATTGTTTTTTTCTTCAAGGCTTGACGGTTAGCGCAGAAAGACAGCCATGTACCGAGTAGATATCCCTACCACAGGCTGTTGATTTGTCATTTTTCAGTCGCCATTAAGAAGACCCAGCAACTACAATGGCAGCTGTAAACGAAATCGATGCTGCCATGTTTAAATGCCTCCAAGGGTCACGGGACCGAGGAGTGTAGCGCCTGGTCCGCGTGAAGCGACCGCATGGCACCTCTCCATTGACATCAGATCGTGCTGCAAACACTCTGGCGAGTGGGGTCTCTGCTGCGTCAGGGGAGCTGGCCATCACCGAACTGTAAGGTCTTCAGTACCCTGCTTAACCGCGGACAAAGTTGGATCCGGTGATCCATTGTTCATTGTGAAAGTTGGATGGCATTGTAAAGCGTGACGTTTACATACCGACTTATTCGCAATACCATAGTTAGGTTGACATTGATTTTTACGTAAAGGTAGGACCTTAGGGATTGAAACCGTATGTCGTATTTAATGGCCCGCGGCAGGCCATGGGTCATGATCTCGTTAATAATATTACGTTACCTACTTTCAAAGCTCACGTGTGTAAAATTGCCTAAGCCTTTCTAGCCGGAAAATCGTTTAATCGACATAGTTGATAGAATATCTAAACACGCTCCCGGGAGCCGGTAGAATACCGTTTGTTCGAACGGTTGGGGTCAAGTTGGTTTGGAGGTAAAACAAATAATAGAGCTGGAGGCGCCACATCCACAGGGTGTGTTAACCCGTAAATGAATTCACTTCTGTCAATATTCAAGTTTCCTGGGTTATGGTCTTTGGGTCAAAAAAGTGAAAAAGTTGAAATCTACGTTGTTGCCTGAAGTGTCTCTAGACCTTTTTATGCAATCACCGTAAGCCTTGATGCCTGTTCTATGCAAAAGATGACTGCCGCTCATCTAAGGTCAATGACTTTTTTATCTTTGAATCAAACTAAGTCATCAAAGTCATGATTTCCAAAATTATGCAAGACTACTTTGCATCTGAATAAGCGTCAACGATTGCTCCAGGAAGTATGGTCAAAAAATGAGATGCCGACCTCGGTCAATGTAGGTCAGAATAGTTCAGATGCGGTTCCTGTCATCAACAAACTAAAAATGAGCACCATAAACTACCTCATGCAGCAAGTTCGAGATCAATGAAAAAGACTGGTTATTGTTTTGGTTTGACTTTCATACTTGACCCTAGGTCAAGTCATTTTTTAATTCAGTTGTTATGTTGCCTAAGAAGCTATCTCAGAGATGTATGGCTTAGCCTAACACTTCGCTGTTGCATCAGATTGGACGATTCCCTAGAAAATGTCTTCCTGAACCCACGTCCTGACTTTGACTTACAGTAGGTCAGCAATCTCACAATGTAGATCAAAATGTTTGGTACCAAACGATCCATTATTCAGTTGTCTACAGCTGTACACAATTTGGCGCAGCTAAGCCGCGTTGTTCGGAAATCACTCCGGAAAAACCTTCGGGGAGGGGTCAAATTGACCACTACCCAAGCGCGTGTTAGAGCACGCGCCCGGCAACCTCGAAAAGGAAATGTTATATTCGCTCAGATAAGATGCTTTGAAGTCTTAACGGCAGTTTAGTACGACTTCTGAGTGTGGAGTGGGATGAGGGTGAGATAGGGAGGGATGCTGAGCTCCGGCATTTCTCCTATAGTAAATCATTCACGCTTTCATCCGTGTTTGGATGTGGGATCTCGGATAACTGCTTGATGTTGATGTTAAGAAGCAGTGTCTGCATGCATTTGGAACATTTTCTATATTCACGTGTCTTAATTTTTAAGATTGCTGTCGATACTCATTGAACCTAAGTTAACACTGCAGCATGGTTGAATCAGAAGCCCTGCCTTGGCTCCCAGTGTAATGAATGTTGATATTCGTAGCTATCACTCATACCATAACTCTCACTGCATAACACCTCTCACAACATCTCATAGCATCTCATAGCAAGAGCTCTGAACTCATTATGACTTATAAGGTAACGGATTCATGAGCTACGCGCCTGCAATGGGTTTCTTCTCTCATCCGGTACTTACCACGCCTTTACGGAATGTTTGAGACGTGCTGTTCATTCGTAGGGAAAAATTACTCATACTATCCTCGTCAATGGTGTTCAACTACAAACAGCGTTTCCAACGCTCGCTTTGTCGGGCCGTCATCAGGCGCTCGATGGTTTTGATGAGGGCCTAGGAATGTTTGGCATATGATCATTCTATTTGAGCAGCTTGATTAAATTGTATTCGGAGCTAACACCAATTCTTACGTGCCCCCCCCCCCCTCATCCTCCTCCCCTTCTCAAAACCCCGCATGCTTTACGTCGCGTTTGCCAGGGGTTGATTGGTAAATAAGCTACAGTCGGTTCAGGTCTGCGCGGAGCATATGCCTCCGTCTACGTGCCGCCAATGCGCTGGCCTTAATTTGATTTTCTGCAGTTACCAGATGAATGTTGTCCCTATTTATGGCATCATATATCACTTTTGACAGCCGCCGCAGTGATGCAATCGCCCTCTGAACAGTACGTCTGCATCAACACCGCCTCACATTGACGACGAATCCTTTGGAGGCGAACGTGGCGATCGGCTCGGGGGCGTCCGGCTTGTATCGATAGAACTCCACCTGGTCCTTGTACCACTTGACTGCGTAGATAGGCCGGCCGGCAGCGTCATAGTCGCAGCGCAGGTGGCCCGAGTGGCCCCGCACGATGTACGACGGCGCCGTGACGTCATTCAGCACCAATGTCACGCCGGCTGGAAGCAGGATAAACGCCATCACACAATGTTTTCGTCGGTTTCGCTGCAACATTGGAGGCAAAGCATCTGCACCGTACGTGCAGGCTGCACAAAATGATACATTCTGTCAGGGCGGGTTTCCACACCGGACCTCGAGCATTTCGTTATGTTACAAACAGAGCGAGATACGCCACTCCGGCGGCCGCGTGTTAAGGCACGCTAGCCACTCCGGCGGCCGCGTGTTAAGGCACGCTAGCCACTCCGGCGGCCGGGTGTTGAGGCACGCTAGCCACTCCGGCGGCCGGGTGTTAAGGCACGCTAGCCACTCCGGCGGCCGGGTGTTAAGGCACGCTAGCCACTCCGGCGGCCGGGTGTTAAGGCACGCTAGCCACCCCGGCGGCCGCGTGTTAAGGCACGCTAGCCACTCCGGCGGCCGGGTGTTAAGGCACGCTAGCCAGTCCGACGGCCAGGTGTTGAGGCACGCTAGCCACTCCGGCGGCCGGGTGTTGAGGCACGCCACTCCGGCAGCCGAATGTTCTCGATAACCCGGTGGTCCTCGATTAGCGCCGCAGCCGGCACGCCGCGGTGCCAGCGAGCCAAACTGTATGGGGGGCAAGGAGGCCGGGCCGTCGGTGGTCGTCACCCGGCACCGCTGGCGCTGGCGCTGGCGCAGAGCCCGACAGACTGGCCTGTGTTGGTACCGCATGTTTCACCGGCACCCGCACCGAGCGCTAGCACAATCCGGCCCTGTTACCGTCTGTCCGCATATGACAGGTGTCTGTCATGACTGGCAGTTCACCGTGTACTTATTATCTTCGCTATCTCATAACCAGTCACCCCGTCTCCGCATCGTCCCGTCCCCGTCCTTCATGCTTTTCTCCCGTTATACAATTTTACTTACTCTTCACCGCCCTCCTTTCTTTAATTCTTTCGATAGGATTAAAATAGTATTCAGCCCGTCTGCACCTTCTTATAGTTCCATGCCAGGTTGTAACTTTTGTGAACATCTGACATACACACTGCAGGCCAAATAAAAGTCAAAACTTGTCGCAGTGCCCGTAGTCGCGCCCCCATCTGCAGCACCCACCTCCGAGGCTCGGAAATCCCCTACTCACTCTTGCTCCGCGATCTCTCTCGCGCTGTCGCAGACAGGCGTTGATCCATCACACTACAATAGTGCGTCTTATCTGCTGACTTGCACCGCCACCGACGGAAAGGAGCTCATCACAGAAGCACATCTCATCACACCCAACGGCTGTAACCTTTCCTCGCCCCGTAAACGTTCCGACAGGCGGCTGCCAAACCCGTCAGCAGAGCCAGCCCCCAGACGCGCAGGGCCGCGGGAGCCCAACTCAGCCCGAAACCAGTCTGGAGGGGTGTCTGAAAGGTATCGGTCAACGTGTTCCTGCCGGCAGATCGTGCACCGCCGCACCTAGAGTCGCAACAGTGGCACCAAGCAGAGCGTGCAGGCAGACGGCGGCGCCCCAAAACGTGCATGTTGTCACCATTTTCAGGGAAGAGCGGACAAAAATGGCCTCGCAGAACGTGCCTGGCAGTGACCAGCGCCGCCCAGTCGGCTTGCAGTCATCGCATACAGAGACCACCGGAGACAGTGACGCCCGTGCGCCGTGCCGTCGCGGAATGCGGACCACGTGCATGTCTCGTCCCAGTCGCCCGCTGAGCGCCCGACCGCTGTCGGACGTCATCAGCGGCCACGGTGGCCGAACGGTGGCCGACAGGCGTAGAACACGGAAGCTATAGTCGAGTACAGACGTGCCCCGATAGGCAGTGGGTGCGAGCGTCTGCCGTTGCGAAGGTCATCCCTATTTTCAAAGGCAGCCGGCTGCCGTTAGGTGACCGGGCAAAGACGCAAAAGCCAAGAATTCAAAGGATTTAGGTCAACATGTGAAAGAGCCATATGGCAAAAATTCAAAAGAGATGAAAGTCAACTGGCAAGATGTCAAAAAATTAACAGTCAAGCGGGAAGAGAGCTAAATAAGCAAATGATCAAATTGGACGAAAGTCAAAGGGGAAGATGCCAAGTGCATGAATGTGCATGAATGTGTGCGTGACTGAAAATATTAAGAATGCGTATGAGTGTGCATGAGATGTACATGGATAAAAATATTAAGTCAAAACCATCAAAACAAGAGGAATAAATAATCAAAATAACCGAGTTCAAACATAACAAGTCAAATAAGCCGTAAGTCAAAAGGACAAAGGACAGGGAAGTCAAAGTTTAAAAGAGCCAATGACATACAAGCCCAGAAAATGCAAGGAAACTGCGGAGTCAGCTAAACAAACCGTTAAGATGGTTCAAAATAAATCAGGTTCCGGGATCCCACGTCCTTCGCCCGGCCAAGAAGCCTCGTTGTCCCATTTGCTTGCAAGCTTGGACTTCTGTTTGTTCTGGGCGTCTGTCTGTTCAGCAACAAATAATAAACAAACTCTACGTTTATGTAAGAAAGAAATATTTCAACCAGCCTGTTTGTATTCAACGGGGACTCTCAGGATCATCTATATCCTTTCATCAGTCTTGGTCAGACAATTGTATTTATGACGACAGATCCAGATACGCTTTGAGGAAAACCTAAAACTCCACATGCAATCTGACGTATGCATACCTCCGAGGAACCGAAAGAAGAACAGATGACCGGTTTTACATTTCAGTCACATATAAATAATACAAACCGATCACAAAGGGCACATGTAATACACTCACAACTTCGATACGATTTTAATACATGTCTGCTGAATGTTACTATGTCATATGACAACTAACTCTCGCCGCGCGCGTCTCTTAAGCACGTACATAGTTTGTTCATATTCTTGAATCGGTTTAACAGCAACGCGTGCGGCATATCGCAGCACTAAAACAAAATAAAGCTCAAGTGTACAAATCACCTGACCCGAATCCAGCATCGCACCCAGTATGACATACTGCCCCAAGTGCACTTTTCTTTTTCCTGCCCCAGTCCCATCATTTCAAAATTCGATATCCGCTAGTTACCGATATCCCCGGTTTTGCATTTAGAACTTTGTCACTGATCGTCCTAGAATCAAAAATGACCTTAATTTTGTCCAACCTGGCTGATAATCTAAAAAGTAGTGCAACTGTATCTCAAGCAGCTTGCTTGGCTCCAGTGGACTGGGCGAACACAATGGCACCTGGGCTCAGAGGTAAGGGGACTGGCACGCAATCCGTGCGAACCAAGCGAGCTGATTGGAATATTATCTTTTTTACGTTTATGATGTCCCAGCTCGGTAATATTTTCAAACACGTCAAACCACGTTTAACAAAACTAATCTTAAAAAATTAAAACCTCATTGCGATCTCATCAAAACGTTTTCACTGCCCACCATGATTCCGCAAAATGGGGTTCGGTTTGCCTGCCCAGACCCTATAGCGCCATTAAAGAGGCGAGCTCAAACTTCTCGCAAACTCGAGAACCACGCTAAGTAGTTATCAAAGCATATAGCTGGATAGGCATCATGCGATGACAATGGGTCCTGCGTCAGGACATCTAACATCGCGCAGAGGGCCCACCCGACTTATATCGAGCACACCTGTACGCCCTGCGCGCAGTCACAAGGGCGCCAATTGGCTGGATCCCACTGGCTGAGCGAGACGGGGGGCTTATCCCCAGCCCCTTCCCCCGCCTTCGTGGACATGTAGCTGATGAAGAACTCTTAGTACATTTGTAAGCTGTATTGAAATCCATGGCCTCTGGCCAGGACTTGTTTGTTTTGACTGATGGCCTATTCCATTTTCCCATTTGACTCCCATTTCTGTTCACTTCATGCCAAGATATTTTTTCTGGCTTTGACTTGCATCCTTTTTACTTTTCCCTTTTTCACGTATCCGTGTGACTTCTATCACTTTTGTCTTTTGCCGGCATCACTTTCTGTAGTTGAGGTCTATTCTGTTTAATTTTGCCATGTAGCGTTTTGTCCTTCTGGATCTCTTGACATTTTCAATTTTACACTACCGTTTTATTGCTTTTGACTTTCGTCATACGAATAGTTGTCGTTTGACTACCTTGTAGCTTGTTGTTCTGGAAACCCTCATTAGGTGGTGTCATGCAGAGGCGTCACTTGTATTAAGTGGGTGAGGGGAGGGGGCAACGGGGCGATCCTGGTGCCTACTTCCCCTGATGAAAGCAAGGCTCTGGATGCTGGTATCGGTTGTTGCTTTCATAAACACGAGCCTGGGGTTCCTGGATCTTTTTGACTGTTTTGCAAACACCGGGCTGTGACTATTGGTTGTTAACGCCTCTGCGCTAACCAGTGCATGTCTGGGAAACCAGAGTTACGGGGCTCGATTCCTGGTGGTGCCCGCCATTCCTGCCAGGGTGAAGCATACGGCGCCATATAGCCTCGGCAGCTGAGTTCGTCGTAAAGCCTCAATGACGACGGCTGGCTCTTGATCGTCGCGGATTCTTTCGCAAACACAACATACGGGTTCCTGGTTCTCATTAGTTCCTTAACAAAAACAAAAACAAACACTAGGCTACGGCTTCCATTGGTTCTTCACGTTCTTCTTCATGCTCCCATTGGTTCTTCACGATGTTTTTTCCCGAAATGCATTAATATGGTCGATTATAACACAACATTTTTGCCAGAGCAGGTGCGAAATATCCCGTACATAAGAACGATCGAACATGCTTGACCCTTTTGACCTTTAATGGCCTGGCCGCATGCCCTCAGATACAATCAGGCTTGGCATCACTGACATCGAAATCGGTTGAATTTGTAAAGAATACAAATGTGTTATCTCAGCTGGCAGCAAGTAAACTGTATTGTCCACTTTCCGAGAAGCCTGACTGCCATGGTCTACATAAGTGGGTCATCGGTTACGACTTACTGCGACAACGGCGCTGAACATTAGACAGAACGAGTACAAATGTCGTGAGGTCAGCTACTGAAAACGTATGCATGGCATGCCTGACGGTTGAAAAGTTCACGGCAAACCTCAGGAGAGGGAGGGTCTGCCAGGCCCACTGTTGGACGAGGTTATG